TTGTTTTACACTTTTATATGTCAAAGTAAGAATTACATGTCAATGAGACATGTCTGAGTTGCATTTTCCAGCTTCAGCGCTTCTCCTATGTGGGGGTGAGAGCTTTCAAGATGTGACCACCACCTGTTCAGATCATAAATGGTCCAACCACCGAGCTTCCCTTCATGCTAATGTCCCAGACCTCGGTCGGGGGACTGTCCATGCCTTATAATGACCTTCAGGTCATCAAGTGGACTTAATATTATCATCCCTGTTCAAGTGCCCCCCTCTTTAATGTCTAGCCCTCTCCTTTCATTCATCTCCTAATGCAAGCGGAAAATGCCACGGCATACTCTACCAGGTACCAGCTAACAGGTGCCCTATCTAGGAGACCTCTGAATTCTTGCTTCTCTCCTTTTGGGGGCAAGTGGGGACACTGATTTCTAGATCTAACTAAGGCATTTCAAAGTAAACAGTGGGTGGCATCTTTTCATCTCAGAAGGCTCCAGGGTTCTCTCCCTGAGTCACCTGATAATTAGCAGATCCCAAAGCTGTGAGCAGAACCCGAGTCTGGCCTGTGGAGAAACAGTTGTCTGGCTTTGAGAGGTTATCTCAGGGAACTCATTAAAACAGTATTCTTGCTGTTAACCAGACTTACTGATCACAGGACAGGGAACCCTCATTTTTGCCTCTTCTCATTAAACAGAGCAGAATTATGTACCCAACACTGGTACTCACTGGCAAGGTCAGGAAACATACACTATGTACCACCTACATATGGGTCGGGGAATCACATCTACTGCTGCTTGTGCCCTGGGGGCTTAGCATCAATGTGCATCTCACATCCTCTGAAGCTCACAGCTTTACAGCAATCCCTGCAACGCCCTCCCAAAAGCTCTAATAACAGCTCAAATCACTGCTTTTAAAGTACACTCAGCCTTCTATCCACAGTTACAGTCACTTCTTACCCTACTATATGAGTAAAGGGAGTAAAACTTCCCCAAAAAGCTGTATGAAGTCACTGATTCCATTTCCTCACACCCTACACACTGACCTGGACTACTACTTGCTCAGCACTTATTCTAAATTGAGCACCGTGTTAGGCTTGATAAACTTATATAAACTTTAAGAAGTCTAGAAACCATGCTATGCTCAGTCGAGTGGTGAGCACTCAAAAGATATGTAGAAATCCTAACTCTGAATTTGTAAATGTGACGTTATTTGGAAAAAGTAACTCTGCAGATATAATTAAGGAGTTGAGGTCATGCTAGACAATCTGGGTAGACCCTAAATCCAATGACAAGCACCCTTGAAAGAGGCACACATAGAAGAGACCCTGGAAAAAAGGCACTGTGAAGACAGAGGTAGTATTTGGAGAGATGCAGCCATAAACCAAGGAAATTATGCTCAAACTTCTTATTTAGAGAAAGCTTTAGAATTCTGGCAGATTTTGATAATCACTCCCCTGTTAAAGGAGCTCCCCATTGATGAGAGTTATGTGCATTACTGAGAGGTCTATGAAAATGGAATCTTGGTGAGGACATGCTAGATTATCTTTCACAATTCTTCTAAATTTTGAAACAAAATTTGCCAACCAATAGTACTATGTAACAACAAAAGAAATAAGTTCTGTAAGAGCAGTAGTAAAATAACACACTCTGTTTGGAAGACATTTTACACCTCAAAAATGTTTACATCAAAGTGATTTGACTCTCACAACAACCCTAAGGAATCTGTTACACTCATCTGTGGATGGTACTTAACCGAGGCTGCTCTGGGAGGATGAGTAACACTCTGCTCAGCCATGTAGCCACCAAGAGAAGAAAAGAAAGAGCTCAAGGAACATTCTTTAAATCCAAATTCAGTGATTTCACCATATGTTTGAGCAAAAGTACTTTCATATAGGCACCTGAATTTATCATTAAGAGTCAACATTTAAATCTGCATAAGTCAACACCTCTGCTAAGTGTGAGCATGACTTCCCTCACCCACATTCTTGCCAACCCTGTAATGGAATGTACTTAAGAGTCATAAAATTGAGTTTCTTTAAAATGTTTTATTACTCACCGGCATTGTTTACAATGAAAATATCTTATTGGGTTTTGTTTAACCTGCAGAATTGTTGATTTATGCAAATTTAAAATGAAAACTTAAAATGTAAAAGACACTAAATCATCGCGACACCTTAAGGACCCAATATGCCTAAATTTCCTGGGTTAATGTCACATTTGAAAGTGTTACTTCCTCAAATTTTCTGTGTGAATGGTTTATTTTTCAGAACCAAAAAGACTTATTCCCTCTATGGAACATTTGCACATCTTTTCATAATACTATTAAAAAAATACTTCTCTTACCTATTGATTTGTAAAGATTTATCCAGCATCAAGTTAGGAAGAAAGAGACTTTAAAAATCAGATCTTATTATGGGCTTGCTCAGTAGACAGTCACAACCAGGGGTCATGCTGCTTTTCTCTCTATTTTACAACCCCAGCTAGCTCATGCCTGTGATCTCCTCATCTCACAACAGAGTAGAGACTTCCAGTATATCCTGAAGAACAAGATGAAACTTCACATTCCAAGAGTTCCTAACCCTATAACATAGTGATTGTGTTCCATTCTCCTGACAGTTTCTCTCCTCTATTTCCAACTCAGGCTGGTTTTATTCCAGGATCCACTTCACCACCACACAACTGAAGCGATTCAGGGGGACTGGAAAGTTTCTTCGGCTGCAGGACAGGCACTCATGTCTATGGCACTGATTCTCAAAGTGTGGTCTCTGGAGCAAAGTTTCAGGATAGTTGGAAATGTAGAAATAAAAAATTATTGGCTCCATTCCAGATCTGCTGAATCAGAAACTGATGGAAGACTCAAGCAATCTATGTTTAAACAAGCTGTCCAGGTGATTCTGTTGAAAGATTAAGCTTAAAATCACTGTTCTAAGCCAGTGATTTTCACTTCTGCCTGCACATCAGAATCATCCACCCTTATGCCCCTCCTACCCCAAGTTCCACCGGGATTGTGATTTCATTGTTCTGGGGGAGGGGGCCAGGCAAGGAGTTTTTGCTAAAAGTTCCCAAGTGATTCTAATGTACAATCAGGTTTGAGAAGCACTGATGGAACCCAACCAGAGCAATCCTGTTTAAAATACTGAACTGCAATTTTGATAAAAATGAATATTCCCACATTTCCATAATCTTTGATCTTCCAACTGAAGATGGAAGTTGGAAGATCAAAGATGTTATTATCATTTTTATAGCCAGTGGTACCACAAGGGAACTTCAGTTTGAAGAAGTGATTTATCCTATGAATGTGGCAGTTATACTATTCTGGGACTTCCAAGCCTCATTCTTGATGAGTCTTGTAGCATAGATGTGAGCTGTCAGTAGGAAATCTGACTACCAGGAGGCCATCATGGGAAAAAATGCTCCAAGTCCTTTATTGTGATGAAAAAACCATTCTCTGAAGTCAGACTAATAGAGTTCAATGCCCAAGTGCTGACCCCTTCCCAGCTCTGTATAAAGCTGAGCTTCAGTCCACAATCAGCTACATAGGGAGGTTTAGAAAGATCGAGTGCCTACCTTTCTAACCATGTTGTCTATATTTCCAGGTAAGCTTATAAACAATAAAAGCGCCAAGAAAAAGTTGCTTTCTGCAGCTATCCAGACATTTGAGGAAAACCCCTTCAGTTGTTTATATGCTCCTTTTGGGAGCATAGGCCTTGTTATAAGACCTGATTGTCAGCAACAGAATACTTTACACCTGAAGCCTTTCAAATAATATGTGGCTTTATAATATTATGCAAACCAAGTACACAATCAACTCATGAATTCAACAATATTTTGATGCCTTCTAAGTCTATGTATGCTCATTTCCATTTTCTCTTTCCTTTGCCTGCAAAGTCTACCCTCAACAATTCTTGAGGGTGTGTTGTGAATGTGTATGTCCTTTTTACCCTTCAAATGTTTCCACTTTCATCAGAGCAAAGTTAATCATTCCTTGATGACATTGTTTCTTGGATCTCTAACAAGCAAGCTTATCATTACTAAAAAGAAAAAGAAAAAAAAGAGGCAACAAACTCATAGACCTATAGAGTACACAGAGAAAGAACACAAGCGAGTCCCTGTAACTCTTGACAAAATTCCAACCAAGCTGAAAACAGACTGCCATGATCAGAGCTGGAGGAATAACAATTCAGTAGAAGAAAGAAGAAGAAATGAGTTTGTTGAAACACCCTGCCAGAATGCTGTCTGAAGATAAAATGCTTTGCACTGGAGGTACAATATAACCTGAACAACAAAATTTTTATTGATAATTTGCATCTTAATCATTTCCCATGTTATGTTCTCAGAAAAAGATAACAAATTACTCAGCCTAGAAATAACAGGACCTCCACTTACCTCAGCAAGAATCAGACAGGAACTGACAGTGTGCCCTGCACAGTGCAATGCCTGCAAGTGGGTCAGTCTGAATGTCAAACCTACTAATCGGTCTTGATTTTTACATTCTATCAGTAACACTCAAATCCCGAAGGCTGGGCAGTCACTAAATGGCTTCTGGTGCTTTGCAAATACAGAAAGATAAAATTGAACACTCTTCATTCATTCTACCACCAAACTTAGAGAAATCACATTTCCATCACTCATTGTTTGAGAACATATGTAACTATGTAAGCTGTTCCAAGTGACAAAACCCATAAAACCCTCCCCATGAAAAACCTACAGAAAAAAGGTCATAGTGGAGCAAACTTTTATTCTACCACAAAATAAAGAGTAATATTGGTTCCCATATTCACTCTTGACTTAACTGTGTTTACCATGTCAATTTAGAAATATTCTAACAGAGTTTATATTACAATTGATGCCCAAGTAGCAATGCAATGCAATAACTTAATGCTTGCTACTTTATCTAGATGAAATAGAGAGAAATCTGCTATGTTCCTCATTGAACTCTAGTCTTTCTCCAGAAAGTGTGTAAGCAGTAACTTTTTTTCTTAGGAAAGAGGAAATGTGACATTTACTTACTTAACAGTTGGCAATAGAGGGCCTGTAAACTTCTCTTCATGGTATCATCTGGTCCTGCTTGTCCTCCAGTTTATTCATGATTCTGTCTAGGAAATTGGGAGAATAGAATTGTTACAGTTGGGAAACAATTCAAACTAATAATCAGAATCCATTCATGATCCTAGTTGTAAAACCTAAAATATCTGACTCTGAAAAGGAACACATTATTTATAATTCATATTACAGAACTACCAATTGATCAATTAGTCAAAACCTGAAACTCTAGACTACTAAGGGAAACTTGTATGGGTAACTTACTTCCTAGTTTTTCTGTAGTCAGGCTTCTAAACCTTCTCCTAAGTCTATCTGGATACTTTCTTGTAAAAAATCTAGTTTTAGCTAGAACTTGCTAAAATTCATTTACCCAGAACCTTTTGTCCTTATTATCTAATTACCCTCACTATTTGGCAAAATTCTTCATCCTTCACTGTCCCTCAGGTGAAGATGGCCTTGGTCTATCTTCAGCAAGAATCCTATTAGGTCAGTTTAACCAGAACTCCCTTAACCCTGATGTTTACCCTCAGTAATTCCTGTCTCTCCCATCTCCACTGAGATTCTAGGCTACAAATTCACACTAGTGCTATATTAGGATTTGAGCCCAATCTGTTTTACCAGATTGTAAATTCCATCATGGTATACTTGCTATCTTGATGGTCCTGAATAAAGACTGCTTTATCATCTTAAGCAATTGTCATTAAATATTTTATTCTTTAATAAATTCCTTAATTATCCTTTCCTGGAATGTTTTTCTTTTTTTCATGGTATCCCAAAGAAAATTGCTTTTATCTTAAAAATTTTCAAAATTGACACAAATTCTTGCATCTTAAAATTCACCTTTAAAACATAAATTTAGTGGTTGTCAGTATATGTTAATATCATGCAATGATTGCTAGTACCTAATTTGAGGATATTTTCATTACTCTAAAAAGAAACTCCCAAGTTCTTCTCATTACCCATTCTCCCCTGTCCTCATTCCCTACAGCACTAATATACTATGGGTTCTGTGCATGTCATATAAACAGAATCATACAATGTGTGGTTTTTGTATTTTGATTCCTTAACACAGTAGTTTACTTAACAAGGTTCATCTATACTGCAAAATGTGCCATTTTTCCTTTAGAAACACACATATATTACCATCATTAGAAAAACTTTCTTCAATCCAGGATTACATGGATATTGCTTGTATTTTCTCCTTATGTATTTTTATTTCTTATATAGTTTTATTTCTTTAGAACTGTTTCTGTACTTTGTGTTATGTCTCACTCTATTGCTTGCATATTTTCTTTCTCAACAGTAAGAGTTGTTTAAGTTAAACTTGGTAGAACATACCCATATTATTACTCCCTCCTTTTTAAGATGTGTTTTATTATCCTTGAGCTTCTTTCCCACCCCCTCATTCACCTGAAGATCATTTTATTAAATCCTAGGAAAAAATATCATTGGGATTATAGTGGAAATTATCTTTGAGTTGCTTTATTCATTTGGGAGAGAAATGATATCTTCATAATTCAGTGTGAGAAGAAAAATAAATAATATTTTAAATATAGCTCTGGGGATCAGAATTCAGAGAGTGTGGAATGCTTTTTTTTTTTTTTTTTAGGGGGAGGCATAATACCTAAATGACTGCTTTGATAAGATAAATTAAAGCTCCTTGCTTGTGATCTTCCTGAGTAAGGAGAGAGAGAGAGTTGGTTACAATGTTCTTCATCACATAGAAGGGGTTTGAAACACTCCCTAGAAAAGAGGGTTTCAATGGTTCAGAATCAGAGAGGTTGAGGAGATGATAAACAAGAAATGTTGAGGAAGAAATAGATAATTTCAAAAAGCAGTAGCAGGTGGAACCTAGTAATAAAGGATTAAGTGAGCAATTCCTCACAAGGGAGTGACCTATGAACTTTAAGATGCATACTAGTTAATTTGTTATTCCTCTTGTTTTAAACCTCAAAACCTTAGCCAAAGGCTGTGCAAAATAGCCTTGTATTAGTTATCCATGAAAGAGATAATACATGAAGATAAAGGTGACCAGAAGAAGAAGTAATGGTTAGTGGGTTTCTATGGAGTAATTAGGACACAGTGAGCACTCAATAAATTTCCAGTGAATAAATGAATGAAAATGAATGACCGAATAACAGATCAAGAACAGAAAAATAGTCATATATGATTGATGTAGGGGGGCATAAGTCAGTCAACGTTGGTGGCCTAATGGATAAGGGGAACTATGCAAAGAACATAAGGAATAAAACTTAACTCAGCAGAAAGAAGATATTGGTTATCAGAGGGAATAAGGAAAAGGGTATGGGCATGGATGGTTTGATGGCGGGAAAAATAAATAAAGCAATGGATATTGACACAAGCATAGGCACAGTTATTGAGAGTCATCTGTATTTATTAAGCTTTAAAATATTTTGTGAGACAAAGAATGAATGATGACTAACAATCCAGATCAACAATCTGGATTGTTGAATGATGACTAACAATCCATCTCCTAGGACAGGGCTCATCTGACTAAGCTGGAGCCAACATACCATGGAGAGCTCTCTGGGAAAATAGCACAGGGGAGAGGAATGCAAGACCTAACAACAACTAACATCGAAGGCCTGTGAAGAAATTTGGAAAGGCATGTACTCAATGTTTCACAGTTGAGCACCGAGACACCAAGAAGTCAAGATCAAAATCCTTAGCTATGAGACCTTGAGTTAGTTTCTTGAATTGTGTGAGCCCAGCTTTTTGGCATATAAAAATCTTGGGGCTGACATTTAAAGTAGAAGATTGCAGAAAGAAATGTAAATGATGTAAAGCACCTACTGTGTGCTCAGCATATGGCATGTTTCTTCACCTTTCTTCTGAGCTAATGGTGAAGAGACATGCTGCTTTGGGTTGTTTGGGAACGGAGATAACTAGGAAAACAGAAGGAATCAATATTCAGCAAGTTACTCTAGAACCTGAGCATCATAAACACTGGATTATTATAGGATGGCAAACATGAAACCCTCTTAGGCTCACTTACATAATAAGTCACAAGTACCTGCATGTATTTATAGAATGGCATGTTTAGTCAAATTCCATTGATGCAGGTGCTTTGTACATTGAACGCATGAATATCCTTCACTCCTAGAAAGAAATGGATGGTCTTTCCCATTCTCTTGAAATTTATGACTCTCCTAGTCTATTTTCTAATTTTCTCACTTTCATACAAGAAATATTTCACTCTCCTCTGAACTTAAGATCATAGTGAGAAAGCATAATTACAGTGACTGACACTCCCTAGGAATTTACCAAGTAGTGGGGACTATGATGAAGTAGAAAGCATAGGCAGATTTTGTTTTTTTTAACTCTGGCTAATTGTCAGCTGGACAACAGGTATATTTTTCTCAGACTTTAAATCTAAACAAAAAATTCCCCTAAATTTTCAAAAGAAGCCAGATTCTAGATGGATTCTCCTATTAAAATATTAGCATTGATTCATATGTGTCAAGACTACAAGACAAAAGGAACAGGACTGAGTGGGTTCTGACTTACCAAGGTTTTCTAGAACCTGCATGAACACTTTCCTAGCAAACTGAAGAGCATGGAGAAAACCATAGTTATGGAGGAGACAGCTGATCTAGCCTGTACCCAGGCTTTATTTGCTGGTTCTCTAGAAGCCTTGGGGTCCAGACTCCACTCAGTAAACTTTAAAAGACAAAAATATTTTAGAACTTCCAATAGAGCCCCTTTCTTCTCTTCTTCACATTTCCTTTTCTGGAAAATACTGGAAGTTGTCAGATTCACTCAGAGGCTGAATTCCAAATAAAAGGGCAAAAATTATTCATATGCTTTTCCTTAGATACAGTTACAAAAGGGAATCAACTACTGTGCATTCTGCTTAGAGGACTAAGAATTGCTTGCGTGCTCCTCAAGATCAGCTGCTGTTGACCTGCATTTGTGTGTATGATGGGGGAAGGGTGTTATGCTGTCCACAGTCACTGATGTCAGCAACAGGGTAAAAATAGGATCAGAAGCTTGAGACTTTAGAATGACACAAATCTTCTTCTGCATAAAAGTACATTAAGACTTTATATACCTTTATGTTATTTGAGGAAATAAAAAAGTCCTTGTGCAAGGTGAAGATAATATACTAAACATTTTTTTTTAAAGATTTATTTATTTATGCATACAGACCTGGGGTACAGGGCAGAGGTGCAGAGGTGTCAAGAGGCTTCACCAGAGACAGAGTGGGGAGCAGAACAGGCAGATCAACGAAGTACACTGCTGAGGGGAGCAGTGGGCGGGTCAGGAGAGGTCTGAGACACCATGTGGTCTCCTCCGGGGCAGGTGGGATTCGAACTCATGCGGAAGTGGCTTTAGCTTCTCAGTGCTGTGCTTTAACCAGCTGTGCCACCAGGGAGGGCCATCTTTTTATGACTTTGGTATTAAGGACTGAACACTGGGGTCAGGGAATTAAATGATACTGCAGCAATGCCAAATACTAACAGAGAGTGTTCTACTATCCTGACTACATTGCCTATGAAAAAGATTATTTCTCATCCTCAGCAAACTCATTCATTTTTTTCTTTAGTAGTTTCTGAAAAATATCTTTGGGAACTGAATCCTGGACCCAAAAACTGTGTGTATTTCCTTTGGGCAGCAGGCAGTTTTCCTGAAAGATGTGTCAAGTTTCTACCACAGAAAAGGAGAAAGCTTTTCCCATCTGGAAAGAACATTTAAACCTATGATGCTGTGAGGTAAAAAGGAAATCTTTGATCTTCTGGGTTATTCTAGAGTACTAAATAATCAAACAAGCATTAGACAGATTGATAAGAGAAAATGTCATTTAAAAGTTTAATAATAGGGCCCTCCCTGGTGGCATAGCGGGTTAAAGCACAGCACTGAGAAGCTAAAGCCACTTCAGCATGAGTTTGATTCCCGCCTGCCCGGAGGTGACCACATGGTGCGGCAGACCTCTCCTGACTCACCCGCTGCTCCTTTCAACAGTATACTTCGTCAATCTGCCTGTTCTGCTTCCCACTCTGTCTCTGGTGAAGCCTCTCACCGCCGCTGAGCC